TTTTTATGACTTGGCTGAAATTTCAGCCTAATTTTATGAGTGTAGGCTGAGCCCTCAGCCTTGTATCGGGGGTGCCACTGACTCCGGCAATACAGGGATTTCCGCCAGCCTGTAGGATTACTGGTAACACTGTCAATCACGGGCGGGAAATCAAGTTTTCCCCGCGAGGCCCCGCACTGTCGCGTTGGTACAGCAAAGCGGCCAATCAGGGTTGCGCAGCAGGCAGCGTTGGCAAGAATCGTTGCCAACGCATGGCTCTCAGTCTCAGCGCACTACGCCTCGTACTGCACCACAAACATCCACCCCACCCCACCTTCCCTGCAAACACGACCGCTCTGCTCCAAGAGACAGGGAGCCTTCAAGGGCTCGGAAGGAGGCTGTAGAGGTTGAGCGTGCTCCTGTAGAGGTTCAGACTCTGACTCAGATATGTGACATGTTTTATTGTGTTTTTTTATGAAAGTTTTACAGCTAACTCTGAAAATTCAGCCTAAAAAACTTTGAGTTGTCTGATTTTTCAGCCTAAAATTTTGGGGCCACGCTGACTCACAGAGTTCTAACAGGGGTGCACGCTGATCGATCAGCGTGCCTCAAAACTAATCTAGGGGCCTGCCTAGCGCCGAGGTTGGGGATTGTCGAGGCGGAGGTCCTGAGCGCAAATTACCAACCAAACCGTGAGGTTGGGTCGCGTCGTGAACAGTGGCGGAAATAGTGTCGAGGCGAATGTCGCGAGTGGTAACGGATTATGGTGGGGTACTGTTGGCGGGAAACAGTGGTGTACGCGCTGAGCAGGGACGCGAAGTAATGAAAAGGAATTTTCCTTACAATGCATAACTCTTTTAAAGAATTTAGACAATCCTATATTTAGTTCGAATTCTTATAAATAACATAAATGTGCATTAGGCATCCTTAACTAGTAGTCTTTAGATCATGCTTGATTGATTAGCATGTATATGTGGAAGGTGCTAAATCGTATAAACGATTTCCCTAAAATATGTACGTGTATAAACTGCAGCGCAGCTTTTTGCAGAAAGCCTGTTTCAGGAATTTGTGACATCATCCAAAAGCAATTGGCAAGCCAAGCTTCCCGAGCTGCAGCCACTTCCACTGAATTCAGTACCTTGATATCCTCCCCCTGAGCTCTGTCACCTTGTTGCGTTGCTGGAAGAATGACCAATCTTCGAAAACTAAGCTGCTTCCAGGATGTCCTGAACACCCTTGAGGGCATTCGAGACTCTGAATACGATGCCAAGATATATCGGACTCACTGCCACGAATTTGGTAGCTATGCACGGAAATTCGAAAGCATTCTTGAAACAGCAGTAGTGGTCTGCCCTGATACTGTCAATGCATTCTCCAAGAGGTAATTCGTTCAACTTTTATGGAGCTTATATCTTGGGCACACTTGGTGCTGACGGATGGCCTGTCTGGCAGCGACGAAATGAGAGCACTTTCTTTTACCCTTCGTGATGGTCTTCTGCTTATGAGAAAGTGCGCTAAGTCTAACGTGTTGTTCAAGTTAATGAATCGAGGAGAGCTGAAACACGAGATGGAAGCTCTTATAGCACTTCTTCGTCAGGACTGCCATACGGTATGTTGGACTATTGCTTTATGCTTCCGAAACGCCTTGTTGATATATTGCCATTCTCAGGCTGAAAATAAGTTGAGATCACTCGCGGCGGTGGAAAACGCCAAACAAGCAACATAAATGCTCCTTCCCGTACCACGTGGAGTGTCTGGAGACGATCAATCTGTTAGTACAATCAAAAGCTTCACAGCCTCAGCCATGGTCATACCAGTATCTGTCTCTGGTGACTGAGATTTTATGGGCATTTAGTAATGCAGTAAGTTCCCTAAACAATACCACCCCTCCTGGTGATGTCTTGGTTTGTACCAGCTTGCTGCTCAATAAAGCAGATGCACGTGCTTGAACTACTTTGCCAAGTGAAGTGACTCTCCATAGTTTGAAGCCTCCATAAACCCTTGGTTCATATACCGTAAACCCCCGGATATAAGACCCTAGGATCTTATCATAATCGCACCTAAAAAAATGGGGGGGTCTAAATAAGTGGCATACATAATATAAGACCCGGGTCTGTACAAATTGACCTTTTTATATACATGTTTTTGGGCACAGACAATTGATTGGGAAGTGTTCCGTTTTAGCACTCCAAGAAAATACGCGAAACCATTTCCTTGAGGTCTGACACACGTCAACACGAAATCAAGCTGGGAGGGTTCTCACCATGTGATGGGCCCAGCGCACAGTGTCGCCTCGGCCTTCACACCCCATGCACGCTGCGAGGGGGCTGCACGGTATTGGTTAGGGGGTGCTCTACACCCAGTAGCTGGCACGTCCCTGTTTGTAGGCTGTACTTCATGTCCTTCTCCTCTTGTTTCTTCTCCCCAGCACTAGATAGGGGAGTCTTATATTATAAGGTGCCAAATAGGGGGGTATATCTCGACTAGACTCGATAGAGTACCCCCCCCCCCCCCCCCCCCCCCCCCCCCCCCCCCCCCGTATTATATACCCGGGGGTCTACAACTGGAGGGGGTCTTATATGCGGGGGTTTACGGTATACTGAAAGCAGCAACATTTTGAAGAGCCCAAACGAAGACCTAACCTGATTGGTCTGAATATGATGGTAGCTGAAAACTGGAGAGTACAAAAGTAGAAAGGATGGTTCTATCATTGCCAGTTGTTATCGCTAGAAGGTGCTGACGGTAACATCATAGAAGGATCAATGGCGCCAGGACTTGTAAACGCATTCCATCCCATAAGATGCGGTAAGATGAACTGCAACAGAGTGGGTGCCAGTGTCAAACCGTAAGGATGGGGAGGGGGGGGTGAGGAGCAGGGGGAGAGGGGCACAACGGTGTCAATACCGTAAATACCACAAGGGAGGACAAAAGACTGAGGCCAGCTGGCACTGAGATGGAGGGAAGACAACCACTACAGTTCAAAGGACGAGAGAATCAATAGACATGGAAAAAAGCACACATGCCACGTTGGCAGGATTAAACACTCACATCTTTTAGAGCTGAGAGAGCGAGGAAACGCGGTATTGAACACCGGTGATTGTGTTATGTTACTATACGACATTGATTTCCTCTGAACGGATTGACTCAAGTGCTCACAAAGAAAATGCGGTTTCATTGCCTTTCACTCACATTCATGGCGCTTCGGACCACAATGAATTCCGCCTTGGTGACAGGCACAGAAAAACGATCATCAACACCCCTGCGAGCGTCCTTCACATCTGCAGTCAACATGGCCATGCGTAGATAAACATACACAGACGCACGTTGCAGAAACATGCACACAAGCAAACATGTAGATAAACATGCATGTGTACATATATAAAAGGCAAAAGAACACAACCGGTGGAAGAAACAGAAGGGAGAGAGCGGAAGGTCCTGAAGCGCAGCACACGCAAACCACCTGTGGGTGTGTCCATCATAGATTACCACGTGCGCGAGCGCGCGCAAACACACGCACAGAGGGAACAAAGGAGACGAATACTCATCTGACAAACTCACGTGGTAGTTAAGGAATTTGAGCGAACCACCGTTCACTGATCAGCAGTCAACAGAGAGTGGTGCGCGCACTAGGGGAGAGGCAAAGGCACGCACTGAGACTGAAGTAGAATCCAGTGAAGTCATTGAATGGCTGGATGCGCAGCACCTTCTGCACCTGACCCTCTTCACTGATAGGAGCAGAGCGGGGGGGGGGGTGTGAGAGGAGAGGGAGAGAGAGCGAGAGAGGAAGAGATGAAACCCAGAGAGAGACAGAGGAATAACATGTCTGCAGTAAATTATCCCACATAACAATTCCAGTGGATAACTCTAGAGATAAATAAGAGATGGAATAACTATGGGCGATTAAGGCAACTCAAATCCCCTCCCCTCCCCCCCTCCCCTCCCGTCCACTCACCTCCCCTCCAATCCCCTCCCCTCCCGTCCACTCACCTCCCCTCCAATCCCCTCCCCTCCCCTCCCCTCCTCCCCCCGCCCCTTCCCTTGCCTCACCTCCTGCCCTTGGAGGGGTCATGGTAGAAATCAAGCTTGTCCTCTGGGTTCAGCCCCAGCACTGACTAAAGCTCTGCGCCAGGCTTTTGTGGTCCCCACAGCCCATTCTCCACCTCGCTTCACCTCGCCTCCCCTCTCTTCACTTAGTTCGAGTATACGCGTTTCGCGTTTCATACGCTAGCGTTTATCCGCTAGCGTATAAACGCCGAACGCTTCTTGGGAGGGGTCCAGTATGCAGTGAATACGCAGTCCCGGGCACCATAAAACTTTTCCCCGGGCAGTTTGTTAGGTTAAAATCGGGGGATCGGCGATTTGCAAAGCACGAAGTTGGTGCCCAATCTAGTCATGCTCGTCGATAAGAATGTGGTCGGCAAGATCGAGATGAAATAAAATTAGAAATGTCGAGTTACGAGCTGGGCTGGCTGGTAAGAACGGTGGGGTTTGTTGGGGGGGTAGTTTTGGTTGGGTTGGAGTTCGTAGATGGGATGGGTTTCAGTGCGGTACTGATCTGAGATTCAACATTTGGACTCCTAGACACGCCTGCGAACTTCGAAGACACATTTCCGCTTGCCTAGACCACCGATTAGCATTTCGACTTCCGCGAAATGCCCACCAAGAAAACCCGCACCTTTTCCGCGTTTTTTTTTCTTCGGGCAGCCCTAGAAAAATTCTGACTGCGTATTGCGTATTCCGTAGCGTATAGCGTATAGCGTATAGCGTTTAAACGAAAGCGTTTATACGTGATATGCTTGAGGCTCTGAGCGTATACTCCAACTTCTTCACCTCCCCACCCCTTCGCTCCCCGCCCGCCCCTCACCTCCTGCCCTTGGAAGGGTCGTGGTAGAAGTCCAGCTTGTCCTCTGGGTTCAACCCCAATACTCACCCTAATCTCTGGTGCAGGCTTCTGTAGGCCCCCTGGCGCCCATCCCCCACCTTGCTTCTTTCCCCCTCCCCTCCCCTTCCCTCGCCTTGCCTCACCTCCTGCCCTTGGAGGGGTCGTGGTAGAAGTCGAGCTTGTCCTCTGGGTTCAGCCCCAGCACTGACCCGATCTCCGATACTGACAGGGAGAACATCTGGGGGGGGGAGAGGGAGGGAGGGGGGAGGGGGCAAGGTGGGAGCAATGGACGGGAGAGCGGATCGGATAGGGTTTCTTGGAATGAACCCACCCACCCCAGCACTGACCCGATCTCTGACACTGTCAGGGAGAACATCTGAGGGGGGGAATGTGGGGGGGGAGGGGAGAGGGGAGGAGGGAAGGGTGGAGTGGACAGGGGATCTGTTCAGGCGTCTCACCAACCCCAGCACCGACCCTATCTCTGCCACTGACAGGGAGAACATCGAGGGGGAAGGGGGAAGGTGGGAGGAGTGGAGGGGGGAGTGGAGCGGATGGATAGGGGGGCCTTGAATAAACTCATCAGCCCCAGCACTGACCCAATCTTTGACACTGACAGGGAGAACATCTGTGGGGGGGGGGGGGAGGGGGAAGGGAGAAAGGGGGGAGCGGAGGAGGGTGGGGGCATAGAGGGGAGAGTAGAGTGGGTAAGGGGTGTTCGAATAACCTCACCAGACCCAGCACTGGCCCTGACACCGACAGGGAGAGCTTCTGGGGGCGGAAGGGAGGCACGGGTGGGGGCCACCACGCTACGGAGGCTCACTTGCCCCAGCACAGCACAGCACAGCACAGCACAGCACAGCACAGCACAGCACAGCACAGCACAGCACAGCACAGCACAGCACAGCACAGCACAGCACAGCACAGCACAGCACAACACAGCACAACACAGCACAGCACAGCACAGCACAACACTTCCGCGTGCCGATGGCGTTGGCAAGCCGGGGGGGGGGGGGGGGGAGGGGGGAGGCGAGGAGGGTGAGCCGTGGGGGGGGGGGCATCTCGTTCACACCTGCTTGTTGCCCCAGTCGTATTTCCGCGTGCCGATGGCGGTGGAGAAGTTGAGACAAAGGGGGGTGTAGAGGAAGGGGAGGAGGGGGAGGCGAGGGAGGAACATCTCGTTCGCACCTGTTGTCCCAGTCGTATTTCCGCGTGCCGATGGCGTTGGCAAAGTTCAGCAGCACGGAGCCCTCACGAGCCAATGCGTATGCTCCCGTCTGCACAAGCGGGAGGGAAAGAGAGGAGAGGGGAAGTTGGGGAGGGAGGGGGGGAGAAGGGAAAGGATAGGTTAAAGGGTAAAATTGGCAACATTGAGCAACACCGAGCGCTCATGAGTCAATGCGTACGCACCCGTCCGCACAGGGCACGGCGGACAGAAAGGAGGGGAGAAGTTGTGAGGGGGGGGGGGAGACGGAGAAGAGGGGGAAGGAAGGAAGGGCAAAGGGCAACCAGTCGAATTGGCATAGAGCCAACGCAGAGGAAACCCTCTTTCAAATGAGCCAACGCAATGTCTGCAGGTGACTGACTGTCTAGGAACCAGTCGGCCCACCAGCTAATGGTAGTGCAGGGTGGGGCGGGGGCGGGGGCGGGGGTGGGGGTGGGGGTGGGGGTGGGGGTGGGGAAACGAGCGGCAGGGTGGTCAGAGAGACGTATTAAGCGAGCCTGGATTTTCAGGCGCCTCAAGTAATGACAAACTTTACAACAAGGATAACACAGAAATTATCATGTGTGCCATACTATGTTGCGGAAGACGCAAGACGCACGTTTAGACGCTAGACGCTTGGCCCAAAAAATTTCGGTCAGCCCGAAAAAAAAAAAAACAAAATTCGCGCGCGCGAAATTTAATTTCGCGATTTCGAAGCGAAATTCAATTTCGTGACATTTGCACCCCGTCCCACCCATTTCGACCATAGAAACCAGCCCCCCAAGCAAATTTGATACCCCCCCAGCCAAAATTGAACACAAACCTCACTGCACCGCCAAGAGGTTGCGGAGCACAAATCCCCCATTTGTGCTCCCCATCTTTCATTTCTACCAAATTCTCTTTCAAAAACCCTTTAGGGTTTTGCTAGTTCCCTCGCGAAACCATGTCGTATCCTAGTCCCTAGGGACATATGTGACATATGTGCATGTCCCCCCACCTTCCCCATGCCCCACAGAAGTTTTTTTAGGCTGCCCGAACATTTTTTTTGGCCTGGCCGAGCTTTCGTCTAATATGCGTCTAATCTGGCCTGAAATGGGTCTAGCGTCCCAGACGCCGCGTCTAGACGCAACCGTCTAAGACGCTAGACGCGTCTTCCCATATCTGTAAGTCTTTGTCCAGCTTCCCTCTTTAAGAGGATTTCCAAGCAAGGTACCGGTGGTGAAGCACTAGAGGAGAGGGGAGAAATGGCGGGGAAGATGGGCGGGGAAGATGGGTGGGGAAGATGGGTGGGAAAAAAGGAGGGGGGCGGGGAACTGGAGGGGCAGGAGAAAAAGGGGGAGAAGGGGATGGGGAGAGCAGTGGGGGGGAAAGGGGAGGGGACAGGAGCGAAGAGGGGGGAAGGCGTACCTGGGTGACTCGGAAGCGAGGGGCAATGGGGACGAAACTGAGAGCGCCCTTGCCCTTGTACACCGTGTGATCCACGAATACACGCGCGGAGGGCTCTGGTGGTGGCAGTGGGGGCCGGTGGGTGGTGGGGTTTGAAGCATCACATTGATGAGGGCAAGAGGGGGGAGCAGGAGTGCCATCAAGCGCCCTTGCCCCTGTACACCGTGTGATCCACGAAGACACGCGCAGAGGGCTCTGGTGGTGGGGGGTGGAGGAGGGGGGCAGAGGGAGGAGGCAGTAAAGTGATGAGTGCAAGAACAGGGAGCTATGGCATCCATGAATACACGAGTACACGAATAGTGACCTTGCCCTTGTGAATAGTATGGTCCATGAATACACGAATGTGAGCAGAGGGCTCTGGTGGTGGGGGTGGCGGGGATTGGGAATGACAGAGGGAGGAGGCAGGAAAGTGATGAGTTCAAGAGGGGGGATGCTTCGAGAAGATGAGGAGAGAGCAGGTAAGGTGGACTCCCGGAAAGAGGCATGATGAGCAGAGGGAGGAAACTTTTGAGTCGAATCAAAAGTCACCTCATTACGGTGGAGGAAAAGGAGAGAAGGAGAGGAGGAGAGAAGGGGAGAAGGGGAGAAGAGGAGAGAAGAAGACAAGGCGATTTCTCCAAAATTCGCTAACTTCCCCAACCTCGCCCCTCTCCGCCCTTTTTCTTTGACCCCCCCCCTTTCATCCGTCTCTCCCCTCCTCCCCAGCTTCCCTCCCTCTCTCCCTCTAAGACAGTTTGACCCTCCCATCCCCCTCCCCCTCCCCCTCCCTTTGCTTCCCCCCAGCACTGACCCTGACCGCCTGACTGGAAGCGCCGCGCCTCCTCCCCCATCATAGCGCTGATGTGGAACGCGCGCTGGCCAGCTGGGCGCATCGTCAGCAGGGTTCGGGATGACGCGGCCGAAGCTACCATGAGCCTGACCAACGGAGGAGAGGGAGGGACGCAATACACGTGGCAGGCAGGTATTGGTGAGGTACCTGGCGGGAAATACAATCACATAACGAATTTCGATCCCGCCATATCGGTATTGTTATCCGCTACTATGCAGCAAGACTTGCAAAACGTTGACATATAAAATCTTCATTATTAACCTGGTCGTAATCAGCATCTATCTATACCTCTTAGATCCTGTCAGAAAGCCCGCACTCGAAGCGCCCAGCGTTCGCATGATGCACGCCTTCATGGCGACAGGCGCGGACGGCTCGAGCGCACAGGCGGAAGGCGGACGGCGGATGGCGGACGGCGGAAGGGGATGGAGCGCGGAAGGCGGAAAACAAGAGGTCACGCGGGAAACAAGACTCTGGATTTAGTCGCGTTGGATGTCGAGACATGTTGCATTCGGATATAAGGCCCCTCTATTGAAAAGCGTGCTGAGGAACTAGAGCTCAGATTCATGATGGATAAAAATTATAATTTGAGTTTTCTGAAGTCATTAATATGCACTTCACTACTAAGTTCACTAAAAAAGGCATACAAAACAGGACAAAGTACAATTGGTGCGGAAACCATGCAACACAAAATCCTTTGGTGAAGGCCACGCAACATGCGAGTTCAGTAAAGGTGCTCCTCTATTGGTCCTATATTTATGCATTTGTGGATCGAAAATGGTCTTCGTCAATTGTGGAATAGAGAAGCCCTTCCATAACAAGAAACTCCACAGTGCTCCTGTAACAGAAATAGCACACATTGAGGTAGGCGAATAATCATCGTCAATATTAGAGACATGAATGCTACGACCAATGTGAACCAAAAATCCAACACACACACACACACACGCACACATGCACGCTCACAATTTCAAATGCACAATAAACCATCACTGACCGGATCTCCTGGGGCGACACATCTGGCATGCTCTGGGCCACTTGCTGGTGGTGAATACCTTGTTGGACACTCCTGCATTGAGTGACAGATGTTTGACAAAATTAAGCAAAAAGCATCTTCTCAAGGACATAAAACCACACATACGAACTCTAGCAACAATCTCACCAAGCTGTCCCACGTGTCGCACTCACGCATTCTGTGGACTCTCGTAGAACTGCATGATTCTGTCACGGAGCTCCACTCCCCGTCCTCCAGCACCACCAAATGCGCCGCCGCCGCCGCCCATTCCCCCTGCTGCTCCTGCTGCTGCCGGTGCTGGTGGCGGCACGTACTGCCAAGGCAACGCAAGAGATAGGACAGAGACGAGGAAATGGAAAAGCACAGAAGTTTTGACACTAGTCATCGTGCATGTCAGCAGGCAAGCAGGGCAAAATGCAGCAGGAACACAGCAGGGATTACAAGCAGTAGCAGTGGCAGCAGAATTTTTGTGAATCCCTACCTGGTTGTAAGCAGGCTGTTGTGGCTGCTGTGGGGGCTGATGGGGTGACGCCTCTGTTCCATCCACTCCACCTCCCTGTGAAAGGTACGATTGATTGAGAGAGAGGGAGTGAGTGAGCATGAAAAGGGGAGAGTGAGGGGAAAAGTGAGGAGTGAGTGGGTGCAAGAGACAACCAGAGCCACTCTGGCTTTGAACAGTGTTATGTGCCACGTCTGTCTCGTATTTATCCCCATAAAAAAAGAGACGAGAGCGAGAAAACACCAGATGCAAGAAACATTCCACATAAATGGAAATGTGTAAGCTGTCGACTGCGGAAACGGTGACGTTGCTGCACCCCCCTACCATGCGTACATGTGTTTTGCATGTGTGCAGGTACACAAAAATGGTATCCAGAAATCTTCACTCACAGCAGAAGGGCTGCAAACCCTTCAATTGTTTCCTTTAGTTACGTACCTGGGTTTTGCGAGTGTGCAGGTACACGAAAATTGCATCCAAGAAATGGAATGTCACCTCATTGAAATCCGTGACAGGCCTGCACACACAGACACCAACAAGGAGGAAAATGAGTTTTTTTTTTTTTTTTTTTTTTTTTTTTTTTTTTTTTTTTTTTCCTGAAAAAAAGCGACTACAGTCACAAGCTAGAGAGGTAGAGGAGATGGGGGGCGAAGGGGAGGGGGACCGGGGGAAGAGGGGGGAGAGGGGGGGGAAGAAGTGTTGATCGACTGTGACACCATGGACTGACTAGCAAAGTGCACGTGTAGTGCTAGAATTGTTGGGAAGGGAATTGCGCCCGCTCTTTGCATGAACCAACAGAATGCTTCCAAGAATCGAAAGCAGCGTCAAGACTCACAAGTCACAAAAACCAAGAGACATACGCGGCAAGGCGATACATCCCTCTTCTTTAAAATAGCAGAAGTGCACACCTGACAGCATGTGCAATGACGTATCGTTTGTTGTTCTGCAACCTCACGTGGCCATGCACTCGAACGTACACTCCAGGGCTGTGATTGGTGGGAGAGGATAAGGACGCACAGCAGAGGGATGAAAAACAAACCGAAAAGGAGTACGTAACACTTACGAGCCAGCTTCAGTTGGTTCCTGCAATGTCAATCTCAAGGCACTTTTGTAACACCAAAAAGAATCAGGCACTCTCCACGCACACAACTGCCGTGTGGCCTTTCCAGCCGATTCATCCCAGCAAAGACACTTAAAAGAAAGAGAATAAAGGAAATAATGGGAATAAGGAAAACCGAAATGATGTTGTCAAATTACCTGCAAGTAACGTTTTATTATAAGTATTTTTTCACAACTAATCATGAGTGTTCGGGTGACCTTACCGCACGGTCTCCAAGGTAGCCAACTCGTTAGTGTCACGATCAATCCTGTAAAACAAGGACATGTAAATTTACATGCAGGAAAAGAAATATTGAAATTGGGAAGGTGTAAGAAAGAATCAGGAAGTAGCCGAGCAGCCTCTTTAAATAGTCAACTTACATCAGAAACGGCAGAGTGCAGAGGTGGTTAGAGGCAAGCAGCAAAAAAACATAGCTGCATAAATCTGACAGGAACAGTAAGAGTGCGACAGGTTGTAGCAGCAGCAGCACGCACGCACACACCACACACCCTCCCCCCCTCCTCCTCCTCCTCCTCCCACACCAACCCACAAACACACCTCCCCTCCATTCCCTTCCCCTCCCAAATCATCCATCCCACTCTTCCTTCCCCTTTGCCCTCCTCCCCCTTCTCACCATCGGCGCACTTCAATCTTGCCCGTGCTATCGTCCAGCACTATCGACACGTCTGTCTCGTGGTCGTCGCGCCTCGCCACCTTGCCTACTAGCACCATCTGCCATACACGTACAGTCACGTGGAGACACGTGGAACAGAGAAGCAGCACCGCAGATTGATTTGAGGCGGCCCAGAAATACACGCGTAAACGTGAATCACGTGGAACAGGTAAGAAGTACACCAAGATACGCATAGTGGCACTGCAGGCAGGACATTGGGAAGCATCGACTGACACGAGCCTGGCGAGCGCGTTGGGCGCTTAGACGAGCCGAACGTAGTCACAGGGAAAGAACGACGGTCGTTCTTGGTCAATAGGAGCAGGCCGTTTGAGAGCAATGGAGTCACACGTGCGAATGGCAACCGTTGGTTGGTACGCACGTTGGTCGCATCGTGGCCGTTGATGAAAAGCGAGTTTTCCGTCGTGTCGCGCACTCCGGCGTTGGCAATCTCCCGCACGGTCACAGGGAAAAGCGTGTTGACGTTGTTGGGTCTCTGGTCGGCATGATGGCGTGGCATGAACGTGGCGTGACGCGGCGTGACGTGGCCAGCGTGGCAAAGGACGGGTCACAAGGTCAATACATATTCAAGGTATGTGGTGAATGGACGACGGAAAGGCCGCATTAGAAAGCACGGATAAATCAGCGGCAACGCGGAAAGGACAACGGTGAGCAAACGATCGAGAAAGGACAAACGAGACAAGTAACGACGGCCAAGTCAAATCAAGAACACCGGATAAGCAGCGATGAATGAATCACGGAAAACGGGTGACCATGCTCGCAACAATTTATCCACCCATTCTGAAACGCACCCGTCCACCTGCGTTAGGAGAGTAAACACCAGCTGCTCCTCCTGCTCCACCAGGTGGCCCCGGGGTTGTAGGCATGAAGCCGCCGCCTCCAAATTGGCTGGCTCCGCCACCGCCAAAATCACCCCCGCCAAAGTCACCTCCTCCATACATGGCTGACAGAGTAATAGATCGGCTAGTTTTTCGGAATGGTTGATAGAACAGCTAGTTTTGCCAGACGAATTTACGTTAACTCGTGGACCAGTTCACGATATGAAGACCAAGAGCGATCTACGGGAATATATGAATAGCAGGAGGCCGAGATGAGGGATTGAGACGCTGGAAGTTAGCCAGTTTCCGATTATGAACAAAATTGGAGAAACGTAGGGAAAAAAATAGCTTTTCCCACCGCGTTCTCGATTTGTACGACGATTGCGAAAGGGAAAATATGCCGTTCGTAACCATCATGGGACTCGAAAACATTTTTGGAAAAAAATAAAGGGTACGGTCACTGCAAAGGGTGTTTTCACGCGACTGATAAAGCGTTTCACGGAATCAGTCACAATCAGCTGGTAAAAAAAAACGCGAATGGTCACAGATGAAACTCCCGCCAAAACAAAATGAAACCCAGAAAGAACCTGGATGCATTTTCGGATGATCAACCCTAAACACGTAACTCGCCAGGTGTTTAGGGTTGATCCGTTCCCAAACCGCATCCGATTCCGATTGGGTTTTAGTTTTTTTACAAGTTCGCAGATTGGTTGGGCGCGAGCGGGAATTTTGTTGAGTTTCACGTTTTTTTGGCGGGAGTTACATGTGTGACCATTCGCGTGATTTTTTACCTGTTGTTAGTGACTGAATCCGTGACCCCGCTTACCAAACCCGTCAGAAAACCCGATACAGTGACCGTACGCGTTTTTTTTTACCATTCAAGTTATCGAGTTCCAAATTGGTTACTTGTGGCATATTTTCCCATTGCGAAATCTGCTCCAGTGGCCCAGTAACCAACGAAATTATCTGCACTGAACATGGTTGAGAGAATTTGACGGTAACCAGGGCTTCGCGAGGGTCGACCTTCGAGGAACCCTCCAGCCGTGGTCACTCGGAAACTCTTCAGAACCTTGAAAGGTTCAAAATTTCAAATCTCTAAAAACCCCGAGATTACACAGCGTCACCCTGACGACAACTGCGATGTCACATGCAGATTAACGAAGTGGTCATTTTGTTCTGAATTCTGTACTTCTAATAACTCACATTCAATGATTCTCATAGATAAATTGACAATATTTTTACCAACCATCTATTGTATACTGTATAAGCGCACCTATATGAACTTCTAAGCAACCACAGCATTCTCTTATTCACCCTAATATCTGGTTATGAAGCTGACATCTTCTCAAGATGTGATGGCAGCAACGTTTGCTATGGCTGACTTGCGTGAAGGGTGGTTCTATGTATAGGGCTAGATATCCTCCATGTACTCAGCCCGGCTTTGGTATGCCCCTGAATTTATAAGGGGTAAAACAAGAACCAATCGCACCCCCTCCTAAGAAGGTTAAAACTGTACAACCCCTAGCAGCATCTTTCAGGGGGGATATATGCACAGCTCCAAAAGAAATTGCGGCAATGCGAGACTGGAGTGGAGAGTCCTCACTGGCTGCCGTATTGTCGGAAGCATGCTCGTAAGGGTTTGTGGGCAGGGACGCCCTTGATTGTGTCGACGTGTATTGTCGAATTGCAGCGTGGCGTGTGGCATCCAGTCCCAGTTGCATGGTAAATTAGCCTGGTTGACACAGTGGCCGTATCGTGGGTGGTCCCCAGACAACATTGCGGACGACATCTGATTGGACATTGCGCTGTATCTTCCCTGACATCTGCGTCAGCAGCACCTTCATCCGTCGGGGTCAAATTAGATTGTTCGGGAACGAATCATGTGGTTCAAGCACCCTGTTTTACTGTTGGAGGTTCTAGACCCCCTGAGAACACGTCCAAACCGCACAGAAGTCACCTCTTGGCGAATAATACGTCGCCAAATGTCAGGTTCCCGAACCTCCCTCGCTTCGATCCGCGGGCCGCACCATATCGCAAAAGCAAAATTCCCAACCACCCTGTCCATTCAGCCCACAGAACACCCACCACCCAAATCAGGCTGCGAGGTTTTTGGGCCCCAGCCCACCCATCCGTCCGTCCGTCCATCTAGCTCATCCGTTTCCGCCGTCCTTTTTTCGCCCTTTGCTCGGCGCGCAAGTCTCATGTTTCCTCAAGCGAGTTTCCATTCGCCCTCCTGCACTCACGTTTTTTATCGATGGGTAGGAGGAATGGAGCAGTTACCTGGCTTGTTTGGAAATCTGAGGTACAGCATTAAAATTTACGTAACACACCCCTTGAACCATGTTTGAAAGCAACTTTCAGTTCTTCAACCCATTTCCCTCCCATTACCAAAGCACAGACTCAGTTTCTGGCTGGAAATGTGTTCCAAAAAGGTTTTCAAACGCTTGCGAACCTAGCAAAAACTACCCCAGCTTTGTCCGTCATTAAAAGTGGAAAACTTGTGCAGAGTAATTTGTGAATTAAGTCTCCCAAACGAGTTTCGATTTCTCAAGTGTTTACTCAATTGTTTTCTACCTTTCATTGTCGGCATCTTCACTCCTCTTCAGTGATTCTTCTCCCTTGAGCCACGAAAATACAGAACGGAACGGGACGGAACACATCACAGTCCAGTCAAATGCCTTGGCGGAGCTTGGCCGCAGTTGTGTGCGTGATGATCCAACACGCAACGTGCATCAGGGGCGGAAGAAACCCGCGTTGCCGTGCACAGCCTTGATGGCTTCCCCCTTCCCCTCCTCCTTTCGGCAACTTCGTGGATTGTCGTTCACGCGGAGAACCTTCCCCCTCCCCGCCCTTAGGCGGACGCCCCCCTCACAAGAGGTTGGAGTTTCCCGCGTGATTCATGTACCATTCGCGCAGATTCTCGCCTCTCTCTGTGGTCGGATTTCATCCGCGCTTCCCCCTTACTTCCCGTTGTCTCCCGCCCAAACTTCCCCGTTTCACCCCTCTCCTTGTCGGCTGCGGAATTCCCGCAGCAGATCCCCGTTCTGCTGTCCTCGCCACGCCATTTCCTCACCTCACCTCAGCCAACAGTTTTCTCACAATGAGCTCGGAGGAGCATGAATGAACATCGTCCATCCATATAAGTTGGTGCTGTTTTCTGATTCTTTATTGTGGCACCTTCGAGCTTCCTGATCCAAGCTTGCTGATCGTTAACCCTCGTAGAAGCAGGAATCGCCTCTGTATATTCCCCGTGCTGCATATACATCCATTGCGCTTCTGCTTCGGCGTCCACGTGAAAACACGACATCAGCTAGCTTGCGCCAGGCTCAAATCACCCTTGTCATCGAAACGTCCCGCTCTCAGTCTCCTGATTCCAGTATAGCCGATCCTCGCTATTCTCGCAACTCTCCAGGTGCTCAGTCCAGTCCAGCAGAAATTCGTACGTAGCGCAATCTCGCCGCTTTAATCTCCTCCAAAAGTCGGATTCGTCTTCTCGTAGTCTTGGTTGGCTCGTTAAAGCGTTCGCCAGTTAAAATGGTTCCTCGTCCGCTCGATTGCACCCAGTCGGGGCCAGAATACGCTGCCGGGGGAATCCCGGGAGCCTCGGGAGTCCCGGCGGATCGTGCGATGGCGTTTCTGTCCAAGTCGTTTCTCGACGTGCGTAAGAGCGCGGAGAGCGACCTTAAGCTCATCAGCACGCGCACGCAGGGTCTGAAAAAGATCGCCGAACAACTGGACGACTGGGAGAACATTAAACTACCCGCCGTTTTCCCGCTCAAAGACAAGGATAAGGACGTCACGGCCGGAACGCTTATCCGGAAGATCAAAGACCGGAGCCTGGAGATCACTAAGCCGCTGGGTGAGCGAGCGTTGTCGATCGATAGCGAGCTCGACTTGTTTTTCAAGAACTGGGAGCAGCACGTTCCGCCGGCTCTTTCCAAGCTGAAGAAGTTTCAAGATGCTGGTAACGCCGGTCGCGCGCCGGTCAGCCTGAAGCCGTTTGACGGCCGTCAGTTTATCAACTTGGACGAGTGGAACAAGGCCGTCAAGGCGCACACGTGGCCTTTGGGCGAGAACTGGACAGTTCCGCTCCAGCGCGCTATGAAGGAGGCTGCTGCGGCTGCTGCCGCCGCTGCCGCTAATTCGCCGCCGGCTGCCGGCCCGCGTTCACCGGCGGAGTTTCTGGAGGCGGTGAAGAAGAACCTGAAGTTGTCAGCGTCCAAGGACTTCTTGTCAGAGCTGGTGCGTGCCTCTCTGTTACTGTGCGCACTAGTGTGCCTCGCCGTTAGTGTGTCTTGCGCTAGTGCGTCGAGTTATTTTCCCTCACGCTTGTAGCCACGGTCCCTCACGCGCGCTCGCTCGCTTGTCGCTCTTCCGCTTTATGCGTCCATTCTCACTTTCTCTTTCGCCCGTTCCGCCGCGTTCCGTAGTCCACCATAGTGGTCTTATTCGCTCTCTTTTATTCACCGTCTGATGACCTCTCTCTCTCTCTCTCCTGCTCCCCTGCCCCGTCTCTCGTGCTCTCCCTACAGCACCCCGACGTGTTGCCTCTGGACGTACCCGAGCTGCTCGAGTCCTTCGTGCGCAACTCCGAAGTGCTTCTGGACCACCTCGGCATGGACAAGGGTGAGTGCCGTGCCGTGCCGTACCATACCGTACCGTACCACTTCGCACCGTACCGTCCCGTGCCCTACAGTGTTGAGTCGTGTTGTCCGATGTATCGTCGTGCCATGCTAAGTTGGTCCCTTCCTCCGCCTCCCTCCTCCCTTTCCTCTCCCTCCCCCCACTTCCCCCGGTTGCTTCTCCGTTCCGCCAGCCGTGGCGACCAAGGTCCGCAGCACCATCCGCACGCTCCGCGCGGGCACAGCGGGCGTGGCCCACGACGCCGCGGCGGACGTGGATGCGCGCGTGCAGGAGATCATGCGCAGCACGGGGTACCGCCTGGACGAGAGCGACGCGGGCTGGTGGAGCGCGCTCGCGCTCGCGCACGCCTCCAGCCAGCACGGCGCGGCGGCGGGGTGCGCGCAGGCGCAGGGGGCCACGGGGAAGGTTGCGGTTAAAGCGGGCGTTTTGAAGAAGGGGGAAGCGCAGGAGGAGATTCAGCACGAACAGACGCAGCAGCCTCAGCCGCAACCGGCGCAGCACAAGCAGCGCAAGTTCGCGATCGTGACGACGGCGAGTCTCCCGTGGATGACGGGAACCGCCGTGAACCCGCTCCTGCGCGCGGCGTACCTCGCGGCGCTGGGCAAGAGCGTGGAGGTGACGCTGCTGGTGCCGTGGCTTGTGCGCGCGGAGCAGGCCTTGGTGTATCCGCGCAACATGTCGTTCGACTCCCCCGCGGAGCAGGAGGCGTACATGCGCAAGTGGCTGCTGGAGCGCGTCGGGTTTCAGCCCGATATGAAGATCGCCTTTTATCCCGGACGGGTGAGTAGGGTTGCGGGTGGGGGTTGGGGGGTGAGGGTTGTAAGGTGAGTTGTGAGACGTCTCACAGCATGGGTGCTGGAGCCCGATATGAAGATCGCCTTCCCTCCCGCGTCCCCCTTCCGAGTGCTTCGTGGTTCCCTGTCCGTGTCCCTCTCCTGCTTCTTGCACACATCTTCGTCCCTTATATCTCTTGCTCAACTCATCCTTCCCAATCCTCCCTTTTTCCCCCATCCCCTCCCGCCACCCCCCTCCTCCCGCTCCGACCGTTCTTCCGCGCGCCAGTTCTCCACGGAGAAGCGCAGCATCCTGGCCGTCGGCGACATCTCCTCCTTCATCCCGGACGGCGACGCTGACGTGGCAGTCCTGGAGGAGCCCGAGCACCTCACCTGGTACTACCACGGCCGCCGCTGGACGGACAAGTTTAAGCACGTGGTGGGGATCATCCATACCAACTACCTGGAATACGTTCGCCGCGAGAAGAACGGCCCGCTGCAGGCCTTCCTGCTCGAGCACGTGAACAACTGGATGGTCCGCTGCTACTGCAACAACGTCGTCCGCCTCTCCGCGGCGACGCAGGACTTTCCGCGCGCGTCTGTCTGCAACGTGCATGGAGTTGGAGTCAAGTTTCTCAACATCGGACAGCGGGTAGCGGCGGAGATGCAGGACGGCGGGAAGCCGTTCTCCCAGGGCGCGTATTACCTCGGGAAGATGGTGTGGGGGAAGGGGTACCGGGAACTGGTCGATCTACTCGCGGAGAACAGGGGCGCGCTGGGGGGGCTCAAGGTAGACGTGTTTGGAAGCGGGGAGGACTCGGAAGCCGTGCGTTCAGAGGCCAAGGCGAAGGGGCTGAGCATGAAGTTCCATGCTGGGAGGGACCATGCTGACTCGAGCTTGCACAAGTTTAAGGTGTTCATCAACCCGAGTTTGAGCGATGTGGTGTGCACAACCACGGCGGAGGCTCTGGCGATGGGCAAGATCGTGGTGTGCGCGGATCATCCGTCTAACGACTTTTTCCGCTCCTTCCCCAACTGCTTCATCTACCGCAACCAGCAGGTGCGGATGGGTGGTTGGTTGATGCAAGAAAGGGCTGCATGGGGCGAAGGAGGGGGAGGGGGTGAGAGGGCAGCAGGTGGTGTGGTTGATATTGTGGCACTTCCTTGTGGTTGGGTTGGGTCGGGTCTGGTCTGTTGAGGTCTCGGTCTGGCCTGGGCAGTGGGTGTATTAAGTGAGCTGTTGCTCTCTGCTCTCTCAAGTTTGTACCCGCTCCCTCCCCTTTCCCCTCTCTTTTGCTCTTACCCGGCCTTGTTACTGCTTGTTCTTCCGTCACGCCAAACTAATGCTTCCTTGTTCCTCCCCTCTCTATCAAACCCTCTCCCTCTCCCTCCCGCTCTCTTTTTCTGCTGTTCAGGAATTCGTGGAGAAGGTGCAGCAGGCCATGGCATCGCAGCCACAGCCGCTCTCAGACCAGCAGCGACACATGCTCTCATGGGAGGCCGCCACAGAGCGATTCCTCCGCTCCTCCGGCATCGAGCACGAGCTTACCCACCTGCTCCCCTCCCCGGTTCCCTCCACCGCTGCTCTCTCCCACTCGCCCTCCACCCTGACTCTGACTGCTGCCCCTGCTGCTGGTGCCGTTGCTGCTGGTGACTGCTCGTCTCCCCCCACACCCTCTGCTGCTGCTGCTGGTGCTGCTGATGGATTGACCCGTCTGTCCACGCGCAGCCACAGCTGTGGCGACCTCATGTCTGCTTCTGCTGCTGCGTCTCCTGCCTCGTCTCCTACTGCATCGCCTGCTGCCACTGGCATGGTGCACATTGAATCGGCGTTCGACCTCTCTGCGCCCACCAGCAGCGGCAGCAGTGCTAGCCGCAGTGACCGCGTGGCTTCGTTTGCCTTTGATGAACCGCCGCAGGCCCAGCTCTCCACCAGCCTTGCCCTCCCACAGGAGTCTCTCCTCAGCAGCACCACCCACGCCTGGAACACCCAACACCAGAGCCAGAACCAGGCCAACCAGGCCCACGTCCCCTCGCATGCAGCAGCAGCCCACTCGCGCAACACGCTTCTCCCCAGCGCCTCTCTCTCCCTCTCCGTGTCTGCCCCGGACCTCACTGGCCTCACGGATCGATTCCTGTCCTTTTCGCATTTCATGGCTTCGGGAATAGAGCCGGCACGCCTGGCCTCGGGTGCTCTCCCCAACACCATGCATATTGATGAGGAGATGTGCAAGGACCTGGGCGTGCCCCACCCGTGGGCGCAGCGGCCCTCGTATGGGTGGTGAGCGGTGGAGTGCGGTTGTGCGAGGGGGTGTGCGAGAGGCGGAGTGAGCGGTGGTGGTTAACAGCAGAAGCTGTGAGGGCGGTGGATGTTTGTGGAGGGATGGGGGATGACATGGGAGTGGTGCTGAGTCCAGCAATTGGGAGCAGAGGTCTGTTGGTTGCTCTGGTTTGAACATATATATTTGACTAGCCGAGGCAGCTCCAGTTGTTAGCTTGCAGCACGACGGCCCTTCACTGTATTTTAGCCAAACTGCCTGATACTGTTTTCGTATTGCAGCTTGTGTGGTGGTATGGGGTGGAAAGAAAAAGTTGGGTGTTGAGTGGGATTTGTGTTCAGGATACTGCAGATATACTATGTACCTAGCAAGTTGTTGAGTGATTTTAATTCGGGGTTGCTGATTCTGTTTTTCTGGCCTCGATTCCTGCTCGGATTTAGGGGCTTGTCCACTCTGTTTAGCATCTGCTTGATATTTTCCAGGATCGTTTAAGTTCACATTGATCAGTTGCATATTTATGGATTTTCTGTCAGGTAATGCTCTGCAAAATGATTATGATGCATAACAACACTAATAAGTCACGTTTAACCGATAATGATATGGCAACGAATCTGTTGAACTACAGCCCGAGCAGCACAGCACTACACAACGGTCATATCATTGATCTAGGAGACAAATTCTTCTAGAACAACTCTCAGAAACAGCTTCTTACTCGACAGTCGTTATATCCGCCTCCCTCCTCCTGTCGTTTGTGCTTACGCATCGATAAGCGAGGCCGAGTCAAGCCGCCGATCTGTTCCTTCATTGCATATTCTCTCTCGATCATTTGGTCTCCCTCAGTCGCCTGGTTACCAGTCGTTCGCGAGCGTCGATCGTCGCGTGCCACCATGATGCGACGGCCGCCTCCCGATATTCGCAACACGTACTCGCTGCTCGTCCTTAACATCACATTCCGTGAGACCAGACTCCTTACCCTCCCTGTTTCCTTTTTGTTTGCCCTGTCTTTACCTTGGTTTTTTTTTTTTTTTTTTTTTTTGTAGTTGCCTTTCCGTTACGCGGCTACTTTATGGCTGCCTCTGGTTCGCCTCAGCTCCAGCTACCGTGGTCTCCTACTTGTTCTAAGTAGTAGTGACGGATCGTTTTTAGCAAGCGTGCTCTGGCCAAAGCAATACCAGAGGCAACCGTAGAGAGTAATTGCGTTTCGTAGGCAAGTATTTGCACTCAAAGTCTGTAATCCCGTAAATCCTGGCTTCTCCTTTCCAAGTTCTCGTCCGGTTTTGCATCCGCGCCACTCTCTTTCCCTCCCCCCCCCGCCGTCCCTACTCTCGTCCGTCCCCATTCTCCTCTCACCCTTTCGCGTCCCGCTGCTCTCGCTGCATGTCCATTCATTTATTCCCCCTCCGTCCCTCCGTTTTCACTCACCCTTACCACTGCGTTTCCTCTCCGAATGGTCTCATACGTCTTTAATCTACTCCAGGAACCACGTCCCAGGACCTGATGCCACTATTCGAGCGCTACGGCACGGTTTCTGACATTTTCATTCCAAAGGACAAGCGGTACGCGCTGGGATGCGGTGGTAGGCGCTGGGATGCGGTGGTAGCCGATGGGATGCGGTGGTAGGCTCTGGGATGCAGTGGTAGGCGCTGGGATGCGGTGGTAGGCGATGGGATGCGGTGGTAGGCGATGGGATGCGGATGGGTGATGGTGATAGAATGCGATGGCCAATGTCGTGAGGGTGGGAGCATGGACTTGAGAAGTATACTTATGTGAATGGGGCTCCAGTGTGGATGCAGTGGAGTGGAATCCAGTTATGCGGCCAAAACACCATGTGGCGTGGCACAGCTTGCGAGCATGACTGCTATCTTGTCCTGCTGACGTTTCATGCATGCCCCCCCTCCCTCCCCCCCACACACCTCCTCCCTTCCCCCACCGCACCCCCTCCCTTCCTCCTAGCGCCCCCTCCCTTCCCCCCCTCAGCCCCTCTCCCTCATCTTCCTTCCACTCCACTCTCCTTCCCAATCCCTCTGTCTCTACTTCCCCTTCTTCACACCGCCACATGAAAGTTTGTTGGATTCTCTTCTTAGGCGTCTTTAATTGATTCGCTTTCACGTACTCCTCTTCTTTCCTTCCATCACCACCACTCCCTAATTCTCTCGCCCGACCCATTCTCCATTACCTTCCTTCCCTCTCATCTCGCTCTCTCCTTCCCCCGTCCCTATCGCCCGTCTCTCCCTTTTCCCCTCTCCTCATCTCCCCCTTCCTCTCCCCCGCACCGGCCCTACCCGCCGTCCCCCTACTCGCCACACGCGCGTGTGCATGCATGGGATGGGATGCTATGGGGCAGCACGGGCACGTCACGGGGGTTTGCGTTTGTGCGCTTTAAGCATGAGGACGAGGCAGCCAAGGCTGTTGAACGCCTTGACGGTGGGTGTGCTGTGCTGTGCTGTGCTGTGCTGCGCTGTGCTGTGCTTAGTTGGAATATACGCTCAGAACCTAAAGCGTATAGCGTATATACGCTTGCGTTCATACGCAAAACGCTATACGCTAGCTAATACGCTATATGCTTTCAGATTTTTTTAGGGGCTGCCCGGGAAAAAAATTCTTGTGTATACGGAAAGATGCGGAATCTCATGTTGAGCATTTCGCCGAAGTCGAGGTGCAATTCAGGGTTGTAGGGAAGCGGGAATTCGCCTTACAATCGTGTCAAGCAGTTCAGATCTACAATTTTGATTAGTACCGCATTGACATTTCCCGCTTCCCAACAGAGCTCATCCCGATTCCTACTTCTCCTTCTAGCGATAGTGTCTACTACACATCCCACCCTAATCGAAGTTCAGACTTAGGAGAATGCTACGAAATTCTTAGTGAGAATATGGAATACCTCCCCGATGGTGAGCACGACATTGTTTTTCACCCTGCCCGGGAATTATTTTTCCTGCCCGGAAAAGCGGATTCCCAAAGCCGACCCTTCAGCGTTTAGCGTATATACGTTAGCGTATATACGATACGCGTATATACGCTATACGCGTGTATTCCAACTAAGGTGCTGTGCTGTGCTGTGCTGTGCTGCTGCTGTGTTGCTTCTGTGTTGTGCCCTCCTCTTCTCCCTTTCTCTCCCCTCTTTGTTTTGCCATGCTTGCTCTCCCCACTCCCTTGTGTCATCCATACACATGCCCAACTGCCCTCTCCCCCACCCACTCCCTCTCCCACGTGTGTGTCTCTCTCTCATCCCTCTCCTCTCTTGTACCCTGCACACCCCACTCCACGCCCCACTCCACGCCCCACTCCACGCCCCACCCCACGCCCCACCCCACGCCCCACTCCACGCCCGCAGGCACGACGGTGGATGGGCGTGAGATCATGGTGAAATTCGCCAAGTACGGCCGCAACGAGGAGATCATGTGAGCTGCCTTGCCTGCTCTCTGGGGCTGGGGCTGGGGCTGGGGCTGGGGATGGGGCTGGGGATGGGGCTGGGGCTGGGGCTGGGGCTGGGGCTGGGGCTGGGGCTGGGGCTGGGGCTGGGGCTGGGGCTGGGGCTGGGGCTGGGGCTGGGGCTGGGGCTGGGGCTGGGGCTGGGGCTGGGGCTGGGGCTGGGGCTGGGGCTGGGGCTGGGGCTGGGGGTGGGGCTGGGGCTGGGGCTGGGGCTGGGGCTGGGGCTGGGGCTGGGGCTGGGGCTGGGGCTGGGGCTGGGGCTGGGGCTGGGGCTGGGGCTGGGGGTGGGGCTGGGGCTGGGGCTGGGGCTGGGGGTGGCAGTGGGGGTGGGGGTGGGGGTGGGGTGGGGGTGGGGTGGGGGTGGGGTTGACAGAATGGGGAATAGAGGGGGAATGGGGGGGGGGGGGGTGAGGGGGGGGGAGTGTGGCAACATTTGACAGGTAAGCACAGCAGCACTTCCGCAGCAATAGAACTTAGACAATGCTGTGTCCCATTTCCGTTCTCGGATTTGAAGCTCGTGCCCTGCTGCCATGCATGTCCCGTGCCCCATGCCCATGCATGTTCCCATGCATATGCCCATGGCAGAGATAAGGGCATGATCACTGAGGTTGGCCCGCCTCCCCCTCCCTCCATGCACCATGGACCTCGGTGAGTAGTCATGCCCCATGCCCCATTCCCCATGCCCCATGCCCCATTCCCCATGCCCCATGCCCCATTCCCCAACCCTCATCCCCCATCCCTCACGCCCCATGCCCCATGCCCCATGCCCCATGCCCCATGCCCCATGCCCCATGCCCCAACCCCATCCCCATCCCCGCTCCCACACTGTATTATTCTCTACAAGCTGCCCCACATTTTCTGTTTCGCCGCTGCCCGTTTCAATTCTCTCTCGTTTGCACTCACTCCCTCCCATCTATCCTTTGACATAATCTCCTGTCCTTTCTTCCCACCTCTTTAATTCCTCTTCTTTCCCCTCCACTCTGTTCCTCCCCTTCTCCCTCCTCCCTCCTGCCTCTTTCCTCTTCCTTACCTTCCCTCTCTCCACTTCCCCATCACTCTCTCCCGTTCCCCACCCTCTCTCCCCCCAGCTATGATCGTGCCCCCTTTCCCGGCCCCCCACCGTTTTTCGACGGTAGAGGAGGGCCGGATTACAGGGCCATGGGGGGAGGGTGGGGGGGACGAGGGGGGGGATACGGTGGTGGTGGGGGGGGGGATTATAACAGGGGGATGATCGGGGGTTATCGTGGTGGGGGGGATTACAGAGGAGGTGGGGATTACAGGGGAGGGGATTACAGGGGGGGAGGGGATTATAGGGGAGGGGATTACAGGGGAGGTGGGGATTATAGGGGCGGTGGGGATTACAGAGGGGGGGGAGGATATAGGGGAGGTTCAGGAGTTGATTATCGGGGGCGTGATTATGAGAGGGAGAGGGGGAGGGAGAGGGAGGGGGGAAGGGAGAGGGAGAGGAGCAGGGAGAGGAGGCAGGACGATGAGCCTTACAGGAGGAGAGAGGAGGGGCATGGGCGGACTGGAGAGAGGGAGAGGAGGGAGGAGACCGAGGAGGAGAGGAGGGAAAGGAAGGGGAGAGAGAGGCGGGAAGAGGAGAGAGAGCGGGAGAAGAGACGGGAAGGGGGGGGTCGAGGTGGGGAGGATGGGAAGAGAGAAAGGGAGGATGATGCTGATGAGGATTCTGGCAGGAGGGGGAGGAGGAGAAGGAGAGATGATGATTCTGGGAGTGAGGATGAGGAGGAGGAGAGGAAGGAGAGAGGGAAATCGGAGGATCTGGAGGATGGGGCGGGAGGAGGAGGGGGAGGGGAGGAGAAGAAGGAACGGTCAAGTGAGGACGAGGAGGAGAAGCAGTAGCAGCAGGTGATATGCAGGGAGTAAGATGGAAGGAGGTAAGGTACAAGCAATATTATACATACAAGGTTGTATGATGCAAGGGAGTAGGATGCAAGGGAGTAGGACGCAAGGGAGTAGGACGCAAGGGAGTAGAATGAAAAAGAGAGTAGGATGCAAGGGAGTAGAATGAAAAAGAGAGTAGGATGCAAGGGAGTAGAATGAAAAAGAGAGTAGGATGCAAGGGAGTAGAATGAAAAAGAGAGTAGGATGCAAGGGAGTAGAATGAAAAAGAGAGTAGGATGCAAGGGAGTAGAATGAAAAAGAGAGTAGGATGCAAGGGAGTAGAATGAAAAAGAGAGTAGGATGCAAGGGAGTAGAATGAAAAAGAGTAGGATGCAAGGGAGTAGAATGAAAAAGAGAGTAGGATGCAAGGGAGTAGAATGAAAAAGAGAGTAGGATGCAAGGGAGTAGAATGAAAAAGAGAGTAGGATGCAAGGGAGTAGAATGAAAAAGAGAGTAGGATGCAAGGGAGTAGAATGAAAAAGAGAGTAGGATGCAAGGGAGTAGAATGAAAAAGAGAGTAGGATGCAAGGGAGTAGAATGAAAAAGAGAGTAGGATGCAAGGGAGTAGAATGAAAAAGAGAGTAGGATGCAAGGGAGTAGAATGAAAAAGAGAGTAGGATGCAAGGGAGTAGAATGAAAAAGAGAGTAGGATGCAAGGGAGTAGAATGAAAAAGAGAGTAGGATGCAAGGGAGTAGAATGAAAAAGAGAGTAGGATGCAAGGGAGTAGAATGAAAAAGAGAGTAGGATGCAAGGGAGTAGAATGAAAAAGAGAGTAGGATGCAAGGGAGTAGAATGAAAAAGAGAGTAGGATGCAAGGGAGTAGAATGAAAAAGAGAGTAGGATGCAAGGGAGTAGAATGAAAAAGAGAGTAGGATGCAAGGGAGTAGAATGAAAAAGAGAGTAGGATGCAAGGGAGTAGAATGAAAAAGAGAGTAGGATGCAAGGGAGTAGAATGAAAAAGAGAGTAGGATGCAAGGGAGTAGAATGAAAAAGAGAGTAGGATGCAAGGGAGTAGAATGAAAAAGAGAGTAGGATGCAAGGGAGTAGAATGAAAAAGAGAGTAGGATGCAAGGGAGTAGAATGAAAAAGAGAGTAGGATGCAAGGGAGTAGAATGAAAAAGAGAGTAGGATGCAAGGGAGTAGAATGAAAAAGAGAGTAGGATGCAAGGGAGTAGAATGAAAAAGAGAGTAGGATGCAAGGGAGTAGAATGAAAAAGAGAGTAGGATGCAAGGGAGTAGAATGAAAAAGAGAGTAGGATGCAAGGGAGTAGAATGAAAAAGAGAGTAGGATGCAAGGGAGTAGAATGAAAAAGAGAGTAGGATGCAAGGGAGTAGAATGAAAAAGAGAGTAGGATGCAAGGGAGTAGAATGAAAAAGAGAGTAGGATGCAAGGGAGTAGAATGAAAAAGAGAGTAGGATGCAAGGGAGTAGAATGAAAAAGAGAGTAGGATGCAAGGGAGTAGAATGAAAAAGAGAGTAGGATGCAAGGGAGTAGAATGAAAAAGAGAGTAGGATGCAAGGGAGTAGAATGAAAAAGAGAGTAGGATGCAAGGGAGTAGAATGAAAAAGAGAGTAGGATGCAAGGGAGTAGAATGAAAAAGAGAGTAGGATGCAAGGGAGTAGAATGAAAAAGAGAGTAGGATGCAAGGGAGTAGAATGAAAAAGAGAGTAGGATGCAAGGGAGTAGAATGAAAAAGAGAGTAGGATGCAAGGGAGTAGAATGAAAAAGAGAGTAGGATGCAAGGGAGTAGAATGAAAAAGAGAGTAGGATGCAAGGGAGTAGAATGAAAAAGAGAGTAGGATGCAAGGGAGTAGAATGAAAAAGAGAGTAGGATGCAAGGGAGTAGAATGAAAAAGAGAGTAGGATGCAAGGGAGTAGAATGAAAAAGAGAGTAGGATGCAAGGGAGTAGAATGAAAAAGAGAGTAGGATGCAAGGGAGTAGAATGAAAAAGAGAGTAGGATGCAAGGGAGTAGAATGAAAAAGAGAGTAGGATGCAAGGGAGTAGAATGAAAAAGAGATTGCATGCACTCATGTTTCTCTCCCTCTTCTTACACTCACTTTCGCTCTCCCCGCTCTCCTCCCTCCCTTCTCCCTGCAGTCGCACGTTCCGAACCTTCTGCTTTGCATGTAAAGGGAGCGGAATCCAGGGGGGTGAAGGACTCACACGTGAACAGCAGGCGGCGGGAGAGGATGCAAGTCGCGTAGGAAATCTCAGGCGCCTGGTTCAGATGAGCTTAGGAAGACGCTAAGGGGTGGAGAAGAGGAGCAGGGAGGGAGGGAGGGAGGGAGGGAAGGATGGACCCGACTTTTGCGTCGACTCAAAAAGTCATCCGGTTGTTGTGCCGTACTGCTTAGATTCGATTGGGGAGAGGAGCAGGGAAGCTGAGTTCAACTTCTTTAGAGTAAATGGACAAAACACAAAGCGTATCATGCTTTCGGGGGTAGAATCGGGATTTTGTTCTAGGAGCCCCCTTTGGATTAGAGTAAATGATGCTGAGTATTGAAGCTGAAGCGGGGGAATGGAGGAGAGAAGAGATGAGGAGGAAAGTTGCTGCAGGGTGTTACGAGTGGAGTGGAGTGTGTCAAATTACATTTGTATGTGTAGGCTGTAGTGGGGTAGCCTCTACTGAGTACAACATTTTAAGTCAAACTTAGTACTGTACTTGTACTCATCCTTGCTTCCTAGTCAATCATCCTTGCTTCCTAGTCAATCATTCTTGCACAATTGGTTATGGCATGGTATTCAGAGCAGGAAACTGTTAGAATCCCAACCACTAGACCATTGGGATAAAATGACTTGTTTAGTAGTGGGCCAGTGCGCCCATAACCCCCTAGGACAACGAGCCTGTAACCCTTCCCTAGGATCAATCAAGTATCACCAGTGGACCTCTGACACCCCCCCGCACTGGGATGCCCGAAGTGTACACACTGGGATTCGAACCTGAGACCTTTGCTCTGATACCATGTCAGAATCCCAACCACTTGACCATTGGGATAAAAGGGCTTGTTAAGTAGCGGGCCAGTGCACGTAGACCGCCAAGAGACAGAGCCAGAACCAATGCCGAAGGTGTAATCCTGTGACGACCGCTGCGTAGCCAAGTCGTCAACCCAAGAAGCGTCTGCGTGTCCAGTGAGGACAACTGGATCCCGTCCTCCAAGCACGAGCCCCATGCCCGACGTACTGCACAAGTATCGCAACACCCTCTTACCGGCCTCCCAGTGCTCTGGTCAGTGTCTCCTGGGCGCATCTTAGCGTGCCAGTATGCTAAGACGGTAGGCAAGGTCAGGTCGAGTGCAGGTCATCAGGTACATGAGGCAGCCCACAAGCTCTGGATACGGGCCACTCGGCTCTACGGACTCGTCCGAAGGTGGAGCTGAGAGCGAGTGACCGGTAGGCAGAGGAGTGGACTGTGGCGAGGAGTACCGGAAGCCGAAGCGCTGAAGGACCTGGTGCACCATGTGTGACTGAGTCAGTGTGATGGTGCGCCGTGCTCTGTTCCGGGTGATTTGCAAGCCAAAATAGCTGCGCAGCTCACCCAGGTCAGTGCAGGTGTGTCTCTTCTACAGCTCCGACTTCACAAGGGTCAGTGCCTCAGTGTCAGCAGTGGCAAAAACCAAGACGTCGACGTACATGAGGACGTAGAACGGCGGCAACGAAGTGTCGGTGCGTAGAAACAGCGACAGGTCAGCAGTCGAAAGAGCAAACCCAAGAGCCGCAAATGTCGTCCTCAGTCTGACGTGCCACTCGCGAGGCGCCTGACAGAGACCGTAGACTGGCCGCTGGACGCTCCACTAGGTACCTGCAGGAAACAACCCAGTGAAGCCAGGTGGGCGGCGCAGCCAGTTTTCTTCGTGCAGGCTGCCCTGCAAGAAAGTTGTGCTGAAGTCAAGAGAGTGCAGCTCGTAGTCACGTTGAGCTGCGATGTGCAGCAACACCCAAAGAGTGGTCATCTTCGGGGTAGGGGAGAAGGTATGGAAGAAGTCAACTCCCTGTCGCTGACTGAAGCCTCGTGCAACGTAACGAGCCTTGAAGACAGGCGGAGAACCCGGCGGCCGCTTCACCCTGAAAATCCACATGCCATCGACTATGCTTGCCCCAGAAGAGGGAACTGCATTGACGTAGGTGCCTGTGGACTTCCAGGATGCCATCTCTACGTCCATGGGTATCTGCCACTGAGAGGAGTAGGGACCCGTAATCGCCTCTGTGTAAGAGCGCGGGGTCAGGATGTCTGGTGCATCCGGGTCTCCCTCAGGTGCAAGTAGAATGGCCACGAGATGAGGTGCAGCAGCTGCAAGACACTCAAAGTCCTCCTGCCTGTCCTCAAGGACGTCCGTGCCAAGAGCACACTCACCCCCGACGGACGGACGACAGTCAGACTCAGACTCAGCAACAAGACTAGTGGCGTGGTCGAGACGACAGGCGGCAGCAAAGTCGACAAGCTCAGCAACTAGGGCAGACGCAGCAGTGGACTCAAACGAAGGGTCGGTGACAAAAGTGGCTAGAAGACGAGTGACAGTAGGACTGGCAGCACAAGCTAAGCTAGACTCAGGGTCAGGAAGGGCAAGAAGATAGGACTCAGGAGGAGGAGGCAAAGGAACTCGCAGTGGAACAGAGGAAGGACGAAGTGCCATAACGTGAGTGCCGGGGACAAGAGGAGGACGCGGATGAGGAACACGACGACCAGTGCGAACAGCGCGGACAGGCGAGGCATGACGAGACTCAGGCTCACGACGCTCTGTAAGAGAGTCTGTCTGCTCAGCGTAAGGAGAAGGAGCAGGCAGAAGGGAGTCTGGCTGTAACTGTGGCTGCGACTGGTGAGGCGGTGGACTTGGTAAGCTAGGAGGAAGGTCAGTAGAAGATGGGAGACAAAGAACCTGGCGAAGGACCGAGTCAGGTGGCGGCAGAGACGACGGTGGTGGCGGAACGAAAAAGGGCGCCGCTGCACAGTGCCTCC